CCCTAGGCAACTCCTCTGCTCAGATCTCACTGCACTGGAAGGGAAGGGTACTTGGCTTCCATTCATAGGGTATGATTCAGAGGAATCTCTGCTTAGTCTGCTCCCTCCAGCCTAGTAGGAGTAGTATAAAAGCTACTGCTGCTAAGCTGAGTCCTATGCTGACCTGGTGCCATGCACCTGAGAGCAGAGGATGGCATCAGCTGCAGAAACCCATGATCGGCTGCCGCCAGATTCTTACTACACCCGTTGTCTGGTGCAATGACTCTGCACAGACTCTAGGCAGTTCCCTGGTCCATCCAGATCCTGTGGCAGTGGAGGGAGCCCTCTCACAATTTGGCCATAGTGTCTGTAGTGTGAACGCAGTGTCCCAGTGCTCTATCCTCCTAATTTCCCCACATGTAGATGCCTCCCCACAGATCCCCGATTTTGTCAAATGTATCACCCCATCACCTTCTTTTTCACATTGAGTGTCCTGCGTCGCTTCTCTGTTATTTCACAATGTTCCTTCCAAGGAGAGCTATCCATAGGTAGGCATCTGTGTGCAATTTACATTCCTTTTTTTGAGAACGGTATGCTTATGGGCTGCTTCTCATCTACTATCTTCCCTGGGAAATTCAGATTCTGTTATATCTATATCTACTGTAGAAATAAAAAAAGACCACCCAAATGGGAACAAATACAGACAATTTATTCAGAGCTTGCTGCAACAAGAAAATCAGTCATCATCACTTAGATTTGGCAAAGACTCAAAGGTAGGCAGGAGAGTGGGAAAGCTTTGTAGTGAAAACCAGGAAAGGCTTCAGGTATACTCTGATTAGAGGTTGTTGGCATGTAGAAGCTGGACAACTAGAAGTGAGGCATCTTATATGGTTGGTTTGGGGAACATATGGATTTCTCTGGGTGGCCCTGAATTAGAAACAGAGATAAAAAAAAAAAAAAAAAACAGGGAACTGACAGTTACTGAACATATTCTGACCATTCTAAAATGATTTCTGCAGAGGTTTTAGTTTGACTTCATGGACTGATACTGCAGAAGTTGTACTTTGGCTTCCTAGGAAGGTTGCTGTAGAGGTTGTATATAGAAAAGCAATTGCCCTTGCAGTAGTAAAGACATTATTAGATTTCTGTTCCTATCTCAATCATTTCCAACAATCTATCTAGTGAAATGGAAACATATTTAACCAGAACTGCTACCTAAGGACTTTCTAAGGTCTTGCCACTTATTAAAAAAAAAAAAAAAAAAAAAAAAGGTTCCTTGCCCTTATAGCTCTTATTATCATCAATATTCTAAGAAAGTAGAAAGAATAAAGGGGATGATAAAATTAAAATTAGCCAAATTACCTAAAATCCTTAAATTGCCCTGGCTAAAATTTCTTTTCCATCTGTAACCTACAGACTTCTCCCCTATAAAATAGCTACTGGTAGACCCATGCACTTGGGGATTTCTCCACATATCCTAGACTCAAACTTGGCTCAAGCTGACTGATGCTAAGTGAAATAACCCAAGCATAGAAAGACAAACACTACATGATCTCATTTATATGTAGAATCTGAAACATTTGAACTCATAGTAGCAGAGAGGAGGATGGTGGTTACGAGAGACTAGGCATTAGGAAAAATGGGGACATGTTGAACAAAGGGTAGAAAGTTGCAGTTAGGCAAAATGAATAAGTATTGAAGTCTATAGATTTGTTAATTAGTTTGATTCAGTCAATCTACACTGTATACATGTTATCATAACATCACTCTACACCCCATAAATATGTATGATTATAATTTGTTTAAAAAAATAAAATAAATAATTTTTCCTAAAAAATAGTATGATGATAATATTAAGGGTAACTACTCTTCTAAGCCCTTTACATGTATTAATTTATTTAATCCTCATGACAAACTTATGAGATATATACAGGCCTTCCTACATAAATTGATACATGTGATTTTGTAAATTTTCAAATTTCACAAAATCATATACAAATAAAAAGAGTTAATGGGAAAAAAAGGCTGGAGAAGATTACTGAAAACCTATGCAACTTTGTAACCAGAGTACTAACTGAAATAAAAACAATCCTAATAAAAATCCTAGAATGATATATCTCTACTAGCCTTTGAACCCAGTATCTGTCAATCATTCATTCATAGCCTTTAAACTGGAGTTTACACTTCTTTCAAAATATAGTCTGGGCACAGTGGCTCACACCTATAATCCTAGCACTCTGGGAGGCTGAGGCAGGAGGATCACTCAAGGTCAGGAGTTCAAAACCAGCCTGAGCAAGAGAGAGACCCCATCTCTACTAAAAATAGAAAGAAATTAATTGGCCAACTAAAATGTATAGAAAAAATTAGCCAGGCATGGTGGCGCATGCCTGTAGTCCCAGCTACCTGGGAGGCTGAGGCAGGAGGATTGCTTGAGTCCAGGAGTTTGAGGTTGCTGTGAGCTAGGCTGATGCCATGGCACTCTAGCCTGGGCAACAGAATGAGACTCTGTCTCACAAAAAAAAAAAACAATACAGATCCGAGTCTGGGGGCAAGGTGGTTCATGCCTATAATCCCAGTACTTTGGGAGGCCAAAGTAGGCAGATCCCTGAGGTCAGCAGTTCAAAAGTAGGCGTATCCCTGAGGTCAGCAGTTCAAGACTAACCTAGGCAAAATAGTGAAACTCCATCTCTACAAAATAAAAATAAATTTAAAATCTTTGAGGTCATTAATTCCTAGAGATCAGTTTCATTACAATGAAAACTCTGGTTCCATATGAAGCATGGAATTATTTTTTCTAGATCTGTGAAAAATGATGTTGGTAGTATAATAGGGATTGCACTGAATCTATAGATCACTTTGGTAGTATTGACATTTTAACAATGTTGATTCTGATGATCCATGAGCATGCCATGGTTTTCCACCTGTTTATGTCCTCTGCTATTTCCTTCCTTAGTATTTTGTAGTTCTCCCTGTGGAGGTCTTTCACCTTCTTAGTTAAATATATTCAAAAGTCCCAAAACAATAAATGTTGGCATGGATGCAGAGAGATAGGAACACTCATACACTGCTGGTGGGACTGCAAACTAGTAAAACTCCTGTGGAAAGTAATATGGAGATACCTCAAAGAGCTACAAGTAGAACCATTTGATCCCGCAATCCCTTTACTGGGCATTTATCTAAAGGAAAAAAAGACATCTGCACTAGAATATTTATAGCAGCAAAATTCACAACTACAAAGATATGGAAACAACCCAAGTATCCATCAATACATGAGTGGATTAATAAAATGTGGTATATGTATACCATGGAGTTCTACTCAGCCACAAAAAATCGTGATACAGCACCTCTTATACTATCCTGGATAGAGCTGGAGCTCATTCTACTAAGTGAAGTATCACAAGAATGGAAAAACTAGCACCATATGTACTCACTATCAAACTGATACTAATTGATCAACACTTATGTACACATATGGAAGTAACATTCATTAGGGATTGGGCAGGTGGGAGGGGGAGGAAGGGATGGGTAAATCCACACCTAATGGGTGCAGTACACATGGTCTAGGAGGGGCACCTAATGGGTGCAGTATGCACCATCTGGGGGATGGATGGTGAAGGTTGAAGCTCTGATTTGGGTGGGGCAAGGACAATATATGTAACCTAAACATTTGTACCCCCATAATATGCTGAAATAAAAAAAGGAAAAATCTGAACCAGAGTATAGTCTTACCTATCAATACACTTCTTAAAACACTGGAATGTTTTCATGGCTACCTAATCTTCATTTAGTTTCGCCAATAACTCAACATTGTGTGGAATACAGAAGTTCTTGAAGCCACTCCAATAGTTCCCACTAAAAGAAAGACACTACAGTAATCCTAGCACTCTGGAAGGCCGAGGCAGGAGGATTGCTCGAGGTCATGAGTTCGAAACCAGCCTGAGTGAGCGAGACCCTGTCTCTACTATAAATAGAAAGAAATTAATTGGCCAACTAATACATATAGAAAAAATTAGCCGGACATGGTGGCGCATGCCTGTAGTCCCAGCTACTCTGGAGGCTGAGGCAGTAGGATTGCTTGAGCCCAGGAAGTTTGAGGTTGCTGTGAGCTAGGCTGATGCCACGGCACTCACTCTGGGCAACAAAGCGAGACTCTGTCACAAAAAAAAAAAAAAAAAAGCACTAGAGCAAAGTTTCCAGCTTTTTTCTTAAGATGCTCATATATTGCTAAGGCTTTTCTTTAATTGGGAAAAAAAAAAGTGCTCCTGTTAGTTTCTTTTGTCTTCAGTCAATATGCTTAATTTCTCCTATTTCCTTTTCAGCATTCTAACAAATTTTGTAGCACCTTTTTTTATTCCAGACTAGTCTCCAATTATATGCAACACTGACTTCCTTAATTCAGTTGTGTGACATCACATTCTTTCAAAATCCTTTAGAGTTTCAAGATTTTCTTTGATTGTTCAAATATTTCAGAATTTGCTCACTAATCTTACAATAATCAACCCACTGAGCCTTCACTAATATTTTTATAGTTAACTCCCCATCTATAATGAATATGAACTATGTTGCTAGCCAGAAAAATATTTCTAAACTTTTATTTTTGGTGTTCCTTGAAAATAAGAACAAAATATTTATGAGAATAAAATGCAATACAAAATCTTGTTCTGTTTTCTGCTGAGAAATGTCAATCTGATTCTTGATCTGTTCTTTCTTTCTTAGAGTTTTGTAAAATTTCCTTTTGTCTTTGATATTCTTGAGTTTCTCTATAGTGTATTTAAATGTGATGAGTTCTCCCCAATTTATCTGTCTTCTTTGGCACCCTTTGAGCCCTTTCACTGAGTTTTTTAATCTTTAACTTGGTGCATTTCTTGGTCATTAATTCTTTAAATATTTCATTCCTCTGTTCCTTTTTTTCCATCTCCTTCTGGGACTCCAATCATACATACAGTTACCCTTATATTTCTATATGCCACATTGCTTTCCTTTGCTTTTACATTTTCCATCTCTTTATTACTTCCTCATACCTTCTGAAAGCGTCCTTTGAGTTGACCCTCCAGTCATTAATTCCTCATCAGCAGCTGCATTCATTCTGCCACTTACTCCAACAATAATTTTATTTCATCTAATTTAAGAAATGAATATTTTAGAAGCCATAGGGGAATCAGACAATCAGACTTTTCCTCACCCCAGGGACTGTCAGCTAGAATCAGAATCTAGAATCCTAATTTAGAAGGTATTCTAATCTAGAATCAGCCAACCAGAGGCTCCTACCCAGGATTTTTTATGTTGGAGCTATGAATCAAAGAGACACATTCACGGAGGCAGTATCAGCATTAAGAACACAATGCTGACAGCTGAACTGTGAGTGGTGGTACTAGCATCATGTCCCTATAGTATGACTCTGTTGTGTTCTCAGTTGTTTAATCCCTTCTAATTCTGAGGTTGATTCTGTTGTGTTCTCAGTTGTTTAATCCCTTCCAATTCTGAGGTTGATTCTCTATCCTTCCCACTAGTTTTGAGATAACAAATTTCCTTCCAATAAATTTATTTTCTTCTTAAGTCATATGAAGTTGGATGATATTGTTCACAACTAATAAAATAATTAACAGAAGTTGGGATAGAGAAGAAGTGTAAGAAAGCTGAAACATTTCTTCTACACAATTAAAACTCTGTAGATACTGTTATAAGTAATGGTTCAAAAAATGTAGAGTTGAAAACATATTATTCATAATTTTAAAATAAATGACCAAATGAATGACAAGTAAAATAAAACAAATCAAATTTAAGAGAGGGAAATAGATTTGAGGTTAAATGACATAATCTCCAAACCTTGAATGGGACTGAAAAAAGCTACAGTTCAAAGTTTGATAAAGCAAGTAAGAGACGTAAAAATCTTATTACTTAGAATTGTAAATATAACTAGAAAAACTAAAACAAATAATTCTATCCGGGCAGTGGGACTAATAATGGGGAGTGGAATGAAAAATGTAGCTGTACATTATCTACCTTTCTGTACTGTTTGAACCATTTTTAGCCATAGTCATACATCACATTTTTAAAATTTCAAATTTCCTCCTAGTCTGCACTTCCACAGAACATACCACATAATTGAATCAAAAGCTATTAATATCTAAATACACACACACATACACACACACACACACACACTCATGCATATGAACCCAGCTGCAATTCTGAGAATGCAAACCATAAAATATTTAATTACATAGGAATCAATTCAAGAGCACAGATTTGCCTCCAGATTTGTTTTCCTGGCAAAAACACAAAGCAGCCTCATACTCACATCAGCAGAACCATGCACAGAAAAAGAAGGAAATCAAATTTCAAAAGGTGACTTGGGAAATGAAAGACTTTTTCCCAGCTTTACTTAGGTATAACTGGCAAATAAAATTGTATATATTTACAGTGTACAACATGATGTTTTGATATATCTATACATTGTAAAATTATTACCAGAATCAAGTTAACATACCTATCACCTCACAGTTATCACTTTTTTCATAGTGAGAACATTTAAGATCTACTCTCTTAGCAAATTTCAAGTATATAATACAGTATTTTTTTATAATACAGTATTATTAACTATAGTCAATATGCTGTACATTAGATCCCCAGAATTTATTCATCCTGCTTAACTGAAACTTTGTACCCTTTGATAAACATCTCCCCATTTCCCCCACTTCCTATGTCCTGGCAACCACCATCCTACTCTCTGCTTCTATGAGTTTGACTTTTTAAAATTCCCTTTTTCAGTGAGATCATGTGATATTTATTTTTCTTTCTGTACCTACCTTGTTTCACTTACCTCCATATTAATCCACATTTTTGCAAATGACAAGATTTCCTTCTTTGTTTTTTTTTTCCTAGCTACCTCCTAAAGGCAAGGATTTCCTTCTTTTTAAAAGCCAAATAATATTCCATTAAATACATGTACTACATTTTCTTTATCTGTTCATGTGGTGATGAACACTTAGGTTGATTCCATATTTGGCTATTGTTTGTTCCTAAAAAAATCAGGTCATGGAAACTATCATCTTTTGTGATTTTGGACTTAGCACCCGGGCATCCCACCAATACCAAATTTGAAAGATTAGTTGATTATTTCATCTTTCTAAAAGTACTCATAAACTTGAGCATTCCATGGGCTAATCCTATTAATATAAATGACTAATCTTTTTAGTATGAAGTCTTGTGAGTTTTAGCAATGAGATACTTAAAGTTTAGTGGAAAGAGGACAAGATTTGGAGTCAAAAATTCTGGTACTATTCCATCTACATCATTTACCAGTTGATAATCTTGTGTAAATCATCACTTCAGCCTGAGTTTTGTCATCTGACAAATAGGGATAAAATTACTGACTGTATAAAATTGCTATTAAAATTAAATGAGATAATGGACTACATACAAGATAGCCTGATAAAATGTAAAGCCCAATACAAATGTTAAGTACTGTTACTATTACAATTGGTAACAAAGGACATCTGTGAAACAAAAGAAAAAAGAAAAGAAAAGAAATAGCATAATAAGAATCCATCCTACCACCAAAAATATAACCAAGAAGAAGAACCTTTCTATTTTAAAAGAATGGATATTATTATGCCCAGAACACAAAAGATGCTACTTGACCTCACACAACTCACAGTGACACCCATGGAATCACTCTCCCTCTGAATCATGACTAACATGTACCTAGTGTGTACCTCAATTCACAGCTTTGGGTAAGAAAGGGATACATGGGATATATGTTTGGGAGAATAGATTAATGAAAGTAGATTTTCATGGTCAATAAGAAGTGAAAAAAATGTTTAAGTACATTAAGTATCATCCTTTTTATTCCAGATCCCCCAAAGATTGAACCAAAAGAAATATGTTCAAACAAGGCTAAAAATAAGGCTGAGAATATGTGTAGAAAGAGGAATGGGACTTAAAGGAGGACAGAGCAAAGCTCACTCTTTAGGAAGGCAGTAAGGGAAGGGAAGGGTACTAGACCAAGAGTCAGGGAACTGAGCTCTGGCCCCAGGCTCTTTATGAAATCCTGGGCAGGCCACTGCCCCTCTCTGGGCCTCAGTTTCTTTATCTATAATACAAAGGAGGAGTTGTAAGACTAGTTAGCACAGCTAATCTATCATTTAGAGAATATGTATTGTTTATTATGGGCTAAGTAGTGTTCTCATCACCAGGGACATGAGAGCAAATAAAACAGACACAGTCCCAGCTGCCATGGCCTGGCCATTCTAGATGATCTCCATCCAACTCAAATACCTGGCACACTAAGATTCTGACTGTAGGCTGTGAAGAGGCCAGAGTATACAGCCAAATGGCTAAATGACCCAGGAGGAGAAAACATGGGCTCTTCAAGAGCAGTGTTCTTTTGAGAGCAGAAGCAAGTGTCCCTCACTCCCATCTTATGCCACTCTAGGTTCTGAGCCTTAAAGCTTAAGATAGATAATGGCAGCCCCACTGACTTTTATTCTGAAAGGCAAGTCTAAGGCTCAAAGAAACTTCTCAGAAATATAAACATATTTTGTTTTGTTTTTCAGTTAGATAATTAAACTTACTACATCAGAGAAATGGGAAAATTATTTGATAATTGTTTTTTTTAAAAAGTATCTAAAATGGGCTAACATTAATGGACAGGGGAAAATTCATAAAAATTATTGAGCACTATATGAATTGACCCTAATCTCTGTTTCTCACAACAGGAAAAACAATTTATATATATAATGTAAAAAATTAATGAATTGTTTGCTATACATATGACAGAATACCTCTTTTACCAAACATAAAGCCCTATGCTGGATTTCTGTAATACACATACTCTGTATTGCCAAAAGAGAAATAGTAGTGGGTTTCATTCTCTATTTCCTATCACCTATTCACTGAATCAGCATCAGAGGAAAAAACCTTAAAAGATGTGAAAGTCAGCTCCCTTTTAGAGAGCTATCAAAAGAGTTCCTTAACCACACCTTTCTCCCCAGATCATGGACACCAAGATCTCCAACTACACATTGTCTTCCACAGGAGTCTCTGACAAGTCTGCTTCACCCTGGAATCTTCATGATCAATATGAGAGAATGAAGAGATGGATAGGCAGCCATAAATATCTCAGAGATGAAGACACTGGAGAGATTAGCAGGAGGAAACCTAGAGGTGACAGAGAAGGGCATAGCCATGGTATAAACCAGGTGAAGTATAATGGAGCAGCCTAAGGACTTCAGGGCAGTGATGTGAGCCTTGGCCTGAGCGTCTCTCCTCCCAGCTGTGTGGACTTTCATCTTCCTGTGGTGTCTATACAAATAGACAATCAGCATCCCAGAGGAAACAAGAAACACCATGAAAGGCAACCAATTTCCTGCACCAAACTGAAATATATAAAAACAGTGCCAGCTTGAAAAGGGGTACAGATTGCTGCTGTTTCCTTGGGGAAAATTGTAGGGCTTTAAGCCAATTTGGACTATAAGTAACAAACTGATTCATCAAGTACATCAGAAAACACCAGAGACTCAGGCTATAGGCCCTCTGCTTCAGCCACAAGTAGACGGAGTGTTCAAAGGTTGTGATCTTCTTGCAATAGAAGACACTGAGGAAAGTGGCAAACCACAGGCTGGCCTGGCTTACCAGGACCCAGAAGACATTGAGATAGTGAAGCCAATGGCTGCTCCAGAAAAGTGAAAACAGGCTTAAGTCCAACATGATGAGCCACTGCAGGAGAAACCTGCAGCCAGCCAGGCCCAGGACAATTAAGTTGTATGAGGTCGTCTTGGATCTTCGGACTCATTCTCCAAAACTCCACACAACAAGGACTCCATCTCCAAGCAGATAAATAAGAAATTCAGCACTGCCACCAGCATCAGCAGTCCTAGGCCAGCAGTCAGCATGGCTGGAGATGAGAGTCTGTCACTGCTCCTGGCTGAGGTCTGTCACCACTCCTGGCTGAAAATTTACCACATTAAGGTAAATTTTCACACCACAAAATCTGGTTTTGGCCTTGTTCTTCTATAACCTGTCTTCAAGCAAGACTGAACAGCTATGAGCAGGAACAAAGAGGATAGAAGTTACGATCCCCTCTGTATTTGCATCTACATGGTTGAACCCTGAGTCTAGACTCAGAGATTGGAAACAGTACCATAGACACAGACTCTCCATTTCAAAAGTCATGGGATAAGGTCTAGACACCAGTACATAATATAACAAGACCTCTCAACAAGAAAGACTAAATCAAAACATATTCAGGTTCTATACAGAGCCAGATATGAGCAAATATGCTATTAAAAAAAATAAATGTTATTTTCATAGGAAGAACATTGAATATGTTAGCATGAAAGTTGAATCACCTCAGAAATTAAAAATATATTTCATTATCAAAGGTAGAAGTAGGAGAATCCTGAGGGAAGAAAACTTCAGAGAGGCAAAACATATTATATTTAAGTGCCAAACAATAAAAAATATAGGTCATGTAGGGGAGCCATTACTGTTAACCATGGTCTTTGAAGCCATTTGCCATTTATGACCAATTATCCATGTACACTTGCCTCAGCTTATATCTCACATCAAGCTCTTAGGGAAAGGAGATGAGCTCAAAGAAATGAAAAAAAGATGAGCACAGTTATCAAGAAATGTTAAGAAAAGGGCTTCATTTATTGTCCTTCGGATCACAACTTCCCTGGGACCAGGCCAATATAAACATGTTTGTGGTAGGCTGAATTCTAAGGTGGCCCCCAAGATTCCCATCCCCTGCTATATATACCCTGAATAATTCCTGAGTGTGAGTAGCACTGTGAATAAGATGAGATGTCACTTCTGTGATTAGGCAAAGGTGAGCAGCTTTTACAGGTGTAATTAAGGTCCCAAATCAGTCAATTTTGCGTTAGTTAAAACCAAGGTATTCTGGATGGGCCTGACTTAATCAGTTCAAAGTTTTGAAAGACTAACTGGGCCATAAATGAAGAGAGACATCTTCGTGCTGGGCTTGAGAAATCCAGCTGTCATAAAAAGGCTCACAGCAAGAAACTGCATGAGGCCTCTAGCTACTGAGAGTAGCCCCCAGCTGACAGCCAGCAAGAAAAAGGTGACCTTAGTCCTACAACCACAGAAACTGAATTCTGCCACCTACCACGTAAGCTTGGATAAACTTCAGAAAGGAATAAAGCCCAGCCAACATTTTGATCACAGCTGTGACACCCAGTTAAGTTGTACCCAAATTCTTCCCAAAAAACTATGACATAATAAATGTATGTCACTTAACTACTACGTTTGTGCTGCTACAAAGCAAATAGAAAACAAGTACAGTGTTCAAAGCAGGCTGGCAATGACTATGAGGAAATGCAGAGAAAGAGCAATTGGGTTAGAAAGGAGAAAGGTCAGGCTGGTCTCTTTGGAAGGCAGCATGAGTATGGAGGACAGGAGGGTTATACCAGAACCAGGAGACCTGGAGTCTGGCCACAGCACTGCCTTACACTCCCCAGGAAACTATGGGCAAGCTGCTGCCCCTCTCTTGGCCTCAGTTACTCCCCCAAGAACTGAGGGATTCTATGACTAGATTTCCATTCCTTCAGGTAAGAGTTACAGAGTGCTTATAATGTGCCAAGCTACAATGTAGTAGGCACAGGAGACAAAGCAGTGAACAACACACAGTCTTTGCTTACAGGGGGTATTCCTTCTGCAGCAACCCCACCCAGCTCCAACACCTGACGCCCCCAAACCCTGGCTGCAGGCAATGGAGAAACAGAGAAGGTCATGATCTTCCACTGGCCAGAAAATCCAGATAAGGCTTAAACCTGTCCAAAAGCAGAGTTTCTTTGGTGACTTTTTGAAGAAACATATTGCTTCTATCTCCCCACCTGCCCAACCTAGCCTGGGCAGTGGAACTTTCTATACAGATCATGGTAGCCAACTGATATGTTTCCAGAAAGCCTAGTCTGGCCTAAAACACAAAATCTTCGGAAATATAAAAGGGTTTTTGACAGACTACTTTAATGCTGGTGTTAAAAGAAGCTAAACCAGATAGAGAATCGAGATAATCACTTAGTTAATTCCACTAAGAAAAATGTTTGCCAAAAAAATATCCAGCAATTGGTATACAGGTTCATCTAATTTTAAAACACACATTATTTTTAAATTATTACTATTTTCTACTTCCTTATATCAGAGAGACATAGGATATTGGCAAAGAAAGTTGGATTATCTGCAGTTATTTGCAACAATGTGACACTTTCCATGCAAAACATGAAAACCCAGTTTTTACTTCTGGAGTTTATTAAAATAATGCACTTTGCATTGCTTAGAGTACAACAGCTCTGTTTTCTATCCTGTTTTTCATGTTACCAGCTCATTTTGTTCCAAAATCAGAGAAGAAACACGAAGAATTGAGAATAAAAATTTTATTTTACTTAAATATACAGTTCATTAATTTTACTTTTGTCAATTATCCAGTTAAGGGCCTAGATCTTTCTCCCCTGTTATGGCCTCTAGGATCTCGAAGCACATGCTGCCATCTTCCACAGAATCTGACAAGTCTGATTCCTCATGACCATTATGATAGAATGGAGGAAAGTGTGGGCAGCCACTAGTGTCACAGAGATGGAGACAGTGGTGAGCTCAGAGGGGGCATATTCAAAGATGATGGAAAAGAGGCTAGTCAATGCAGAAACCATGTAAAGGAAGAACTTTAGAGCAATATGACCCTTGGCTTGAGCATCCTCCTTATAGCTGTGTGGTCCTTCATCTTCCCATGATGTCTCTATGAAAGACAATCAGCACATTGGAGCTGAGACACCACAAATCATCAGTCAGTTTCCTGTACTGGACTGCAATATATAAAAATAACACAGACTTCAAATGGGGTAGAGGATGCTGCTGATTCCTGTTAATGGTTTGTAAAACTTCAAGCCAGCAAGAGCTAACAAATGAAAAGTCATCTTGAAAGACATTAGCAGAAACCAAAAACCTAGCCTTCAGGCCCTCTTATTCATCCACAAGAAATCAGGGTTGCCAAAGGTCATAATCTTCATGCAGTAGAAGCCACAGAGGAAAGTGGCAAACCACCTGCTATGCTGGCCTGGCTTACCAGGACAAGAAGACATTGAGATGATGAAGCCAACCACTGCTCTGGAAAAGTGGAAACAGGCTTACAGAGGAACCAGAGGCCACCATGATCAGCCTACATAGGAGAAAGTGGCCAACCCTCACGCCCAGGGCATATATTTTTGACCTGTTCCCTAAAACTCCAGACTATAAGGATTCTGTTTCCAACCAGGCCAATGAGAAATTCAGCCACTGCAATCAGCATCAGCAGTCCCAAGGTGGCAGTCAGCATGGCTGGGGAGGGGAGTCTGTCACTGCTGACCTAGGAGGTTCCCTGCTTCAGCGCTGATGACCACATATATCAACAAGGGTGATATCAGTGTTACAGCAGAGCATTTCACTTCTCAGAACTCGGATGTTGTCACTGACTGAAATCCATTATCTGGCAAAGATGTTATAGCTGTGTGCAGAAGAAATGTTCTTGAAGGTAACAGTCCCACCTTCACTTGTATCAGACCCAAGATTAGGTACAAAGCCACAGTTACAGACTGTCCTTCCAAAGGACAGAGACCCCAGAGTACAGTCTCCTGAAACCCTACTCCCACCCTACCTAACTCCACAAAACCAAAATAAGATATTCTGAGAACCTAAACAGTGGCAAATGCAAGGCACCTCATGTTATAAAAAGGCAAGTATGACATTTATCAATTGTTTGAAAAATACTTATTAAATGACTACTATATTCCAGGTCCCTGTTCCAAGCTCTTAGGAAACAATGTGAAGGAAACAAAATCCCTGCTCTTATAGAGTTTATATTCTAGTAGGAGAGGTAAATAATTAATAGTTTTAACATGTTTATAATTTGAATATATAAACATGAGAGCTGTATTTATACAAAAGTTTATTACAATGACAACAGAGAAAACAAAAGAAAGGATAGGGTAAGAAAACAAGCAAAAACAAACAGAAGACAGGATAAATATTAACTTCAAAACAATAAATTCTAGGAGAGGTCCGACGGGAGAGAAATCTGTAAACCACAGTTGCTACTTCATTTCCACACGGGACTCTTCAGCATATCAGCCATCAAACCAAGAGCTGCAAAGAAGGAGTATTTGGAGAGTAATAGCCTCAGTGCTTTCTAGTTTACTAGAGCAATCATTTGGCTTTTACTTTTGACACAACCAAACTATTTCTGCCATAATAGTATCATACAACCTCTTTCTACCAAAGTCCCTTATGTTTGTGCTCCTATATTCCACTGCTCTGAGCCCTCAACTATTTTCACAGTTCCTGAACCAAGAAAAGAAAGCCAATGAAAGATCAAGTGGAATACAAGCATAAGAAGAGACCCTCAGAGGGACAAATTATGACTTTACGCTCAGCATCAACAGAGCAGTCTATCTTATACACAGTAAGAATACTGAAAGGAAAGAAAGAAAGAACAAGCATTGGTTTCAACAACCTGGTACTTCCATCCAAAAATTCACTCTCTCCTGTTGCCAGACTCAGTACAGCTCTACCCCTACATATGACTACAAGCATTTTCATATTCTTGTACAAAATTGTAAATGCTTCCCAAAATTATGGCTACTTTGCCACTAGATGATAACAAGGCAACTGCTTCTTCAGTAGCAGCTGTTAACCTGAGCAAATTAATTCTTCTCTTAATGAGCTATATTAGTCCAGATATTCAGAAATTGGGCAGATCAAGCACATTGTTAATAAGCATGTTTAATAGGAACAAAATTTATAAATGTACACATATTCATGGACTTTCCAGCTTCCTTCCCTACTGCCTTATGGAGAGGAAGGGTTCTTGCTCACTGGTCAACGCGGCCTCTTTGGTACTGGAATTCAGGTGTTTGGAGGGAGAAGGAAGCACCGAACCACACCATCCAGGGTGCTGGGTGCAACAAGGATCACAACCTTAGAGGGAGAATATGATAAGCATTGGCAGCCTTGCTCAGGGTAGTGAAAGTGAATAGAGTAACACCAAGTCAGTGAGGGGACTTTGCAAGCTGAAAAAGAGGGAATTACTTTTGTCTGCTTCCATGAGTATGAAAATCTGGGGAGTGAGAATTTTTAAATGTAGCAGACAAAATGTGGGGAACTCTCTAGGAGGTGGAGTTTATTTCCCTCCTGCTAAGTTTGGGCTGGATTTAACGACTCCCCCAAAGAATAGAGTGCAGAAATGGTAAAAATAGTAACTTTACAGTGTTCCTGGCAGACAGCATCTTAACCAAGCGATCAAGGTTAACACCAGTGACAAGTCACGTTGATATCATGAACCCTGTGATGTGATGTGATGTGATGTGATGTGATGTGATGTGATGTGATGTGATGTGATGTGACGTGACGTGACGAGAAGGGCACTTCACCTCTGTGGTACTTTTCCCCAAAAGCCCATGATCCCAGTCTAACTATGAAAGAAAAATATTAGACAAACCCAAATTGAGGAGCATTTTACAAAATGCCTGAATAGTAATCTTTAAAACTGTGAAGGTCATAAAAAACAAGAAAAGTCTGAGAAACTGTCACAGACTAGAGGAGACTAAGTAAAAATGTACGATAGTTATATAAAATATTAACATTAGCAGAAACTGGGTGAGGAAAATATATGAAGTTTCTGTACTCAATTTGCAACTTCTCTATAAAATATTATAAAATTGAATTAAAATTAAAACCTTTATTTTTAAAAAGTTAAATAAAACTCAGATATGTATTCATCATTTGTATGTGAATTATGATGTTAGCGATTTGAGAATTGTGTCTATTGAGAGGAGACTTAGAGGAGTAAGATGCTCCCATAACATTGAAAGATCCTGCTAAGAGTCAAGCAACATAGACAACAGATGGGGCTTTCTGGATATGTACCTATCCAAGGCACAGTGTTCACAGGTTCATGCTAGTACCAGTCTGAATGGGAACAAGCCTCAGGACTAGCTTTCTGTTAGACGTACTTAAAATAAGGCACAAGTGATCATGCATAAAAAGGCAATATGTTTTTAAGTCAGACATATTTGGATTTGCCTCCCAACCCAACCAGTTAGTAGCTGTGTCCTTAAACAAGAGCTGTGTCCTCTGAGCTTTAGTTTCTCCTTTATAAAAATGATAATAATGTTTATCTCACAGAGCTGTTGTGATGATAAAAAAAATTACCTAGCTTTTTGCATAGCAAGTAGTGTCATTTAATTAATGTTATTTGTCTTTCCTTCCTTGGTGATTTCTCTCCATAACCACTCCTTTCAATGAAGTCAGAGAGCACCTGAAGTTTTTAGGAACAGTATGCAAATCCAGGATGAACTGAGTTGCTGATTCTAGAGAAAGGCAATTGGTTCTGCATAATTCCAGACTCTCTAGAAAGTACAAATAAAGATGAGAAGGCCGGGTGCGGTGGCTCACGCCTGTAATCCTAGCACTCTGGGAGGCCGAGGCGGGCGGATTGCTCGGAGTTCAAAACCAGCCTGAGCGAGACCCGGTCTCTACTATAAATAGAAAGAAATTAATTGACCAACTAATATATAGAGAAAAAATTAGCTGGGTATGGTGGCGCATGCCTGTAGTCCCAGCTACTTGGGAGGCTGAGGCAGCAGGATTGCTTGAGCCCAGGAGTTTGAGGTTGCTGTAAGCTAGGCTGATGCCACGGCACTCACTCTAGCCTGGACAACAAAGCGAGCCTTTGTCTCAAAAAAAAAAAAAAAAAAAAAAAAAGATGAGAGACTGGACTCTCAAAACACACAGATGTCAAAGATTTAAAGAGGAAGGTGAGAGTTAGGAGAGATCTTATAGTTAAACACATCAATATGTTTAACTATTTCTTCTCCCGAGATACCTGAATTTCAGATCATTACAACCATAGTCATTGTCCCAACTGTGAAAACAGCAAAATTGAGACAAATAATTTTCCTGTATTTAAATGTTATCAAACCAATCAAGTATGTATCTGTGTTTAGATACCTCTTCTGCAAGCAAGATGTACATACATCCAGCCATCTGCCCAGGGCATCTTGCTTCTTCCTGTTGACCCAAGGCAGAGTTTATTCACCCCCATTCCTAGACCCCATATGCCCACACAGCCATAATCCAGAGACAGATTAAGCTGTTCTGAGATGATGCTGAGCTCATGCCTCCTCTAGGTGTAGGGAGGAAGGTGCAGGGACTGTGCCTCTGCTCTTGATGTTGTCCACATCTCCCCTTTCCTTTCCCCTTCTCTCACCTCCATTAACCCATATCACTTCCTTTTTAATTTCTATGCCAGGCAAATTCTCATACATACATAGAATTTCTTTTCACACTTTTTCCTTTATGGAATGAAACTGGCCATGGGCTGTTCTATTAGGAGATAAAATGATATTTATTATCTGTGCCTTTCTTTAGACTACAATATCCAAATCCCTAGGGAAGCTTGTCAAACTCCACTTCCCCTTTCCACTCCCACACCCAGAAGGAATGGAGGCAAGGCATATAAAATTTGAAAAAAAAAATTCCCAGTGGACTCTGACATGCTTCTCACCTTCCCAGCCCTCTTTGAGAACCAGTGGGCTAGACTAGAGGATCCACCTCTAGATTTAATTTGTTAAAAAGAGCATTATTGAAAAATGCATTTTAAATGCTTTAGTAAGTTTCAATTTTACCTGGAGACTCTGGCATTTGAAGCCATCTTCAATTCACGTTTTAAAAAACTTCTTCCTAGTAATCCCTTCTCCTTCTCCCTTTCCTTCTCTTTCTTTCCTTCCTTCCTTCTTCTTCTTCTTCCTTCCTTCCTTCCTTCCTTCCTTCTTTCTCTCTCTCTCTTTCTCTCTCTCTTTCTCTTTCTCTCTTCCTCACCACTAGAATTGGCTCACCAACAGAATGCTGCTAACAATGATCAGCAAAACCCAATGCCAAACATGTTTAAGGAAATCTAAACAATATAAATGAACTCTCAAATTTCAAATCCTTGAAATTTTTAAGAATTTTATTTACTTTTTACAGAAATTGTATCTACTTTCCCATCATATTTCTGTTGGTCTCTTCCTTCCCAAGTAGCAACATTGAAAAGAAACTTAAAAATTGTTTCTTCTTTAATGCTACAACTTTTTCATTTAAAAATATATCTCATATAAATTTCTGGGCCTAAAAGCCCACAGTCTATATGACAACATGACATTGATTTTAGCTAAGGAAACTAAGCCCCTACACAATTTTCATACCACCTCCCCACTCCCCTTATATATACATCAGCAGCCCTGGGTGGGTTTTCAGCCTGAACACATGCTGCTTCAGACATCATTTTGAATATTTTCTTCTTGTCCTAGAAAATAAGCTTGTTTAATTGAGTATAATCCCACTATGTCCTGTCTTTCCACCCACCTTGTGATACAGTGGGAAAAGAATTGGATTTAAGAGTCAGAAGATTACAGTTGGAGCTCTGGATATTCCCTTCCTAGTTCTACTATTATGAACTATTTACTTAGCTTTTTTGTGCCTTAACTTTCTCAGCTATATAATGGGTACAATAATACCTACATTACCAAAGAGTTTGGATGAGCTAATAAAACAGTATGTGTAAATGTAGCCCATACAATATTGGGCTTGTAGCAGTTGAAAGTTAAATGGCAATTCCCCTGAGTTATAGCTACCACAGTGAGTATTTCAGGATGTTGTAAAGACACTGTTCTGACACCTGTCCTTCACTTCAGAAAGTGACCCTTCTGCACAAAGAGATGTAAACACCCCTCCCTTTCCTGTAATAGGCAGTGAATACTGGGAGATGCAGGATATTGAATACTGATATTGGAGAGCCTGTAAATTATCATCTCTTGAAAAAAAGCATGATTTTTTTTACATTTTCTGGCTAATAAGTACTTAGTGGTGGGTATTTTAGCAGCACACACTGGAAACAACAAAACTCCAAATCCACAGCATTGCTAAAAGCTGTGCCTGAGGAGGACTTTGGGCAAGTACCTAAGCAAAGAGTTGGAACTGTCTTCAAATAGCAAAACCATTTCTAACACAAAGATAGCATATTGAACCCAGAGCGGGAAAAATGAAGACAGCATAAGACAACCAAGAAACAAACTGGCAGAACTTTACCAATACAAGAAAAAGGATCCAAACAATGGAATAAAGCCTATTCCCTTGCCTTCTTAGTAAGGAGAAATTGGATGTTGACATCAGAATTCCCTATCTGTCCTTTAGATAGGCAGATAGACAGACTTCATATACTGTAGATATTTAAAATATGTTTTTCTGATTATAAAATAATGTTCATCATAGAAAACTTGAAAAATGTAAAGAAAAGTTACTTAACACTTCCCATCTAAAAATAATTGCTATTTACATTTTATATATTTCCTTTTAGACTTTTTTCATATATATATATTTATAAAAATTGGCATTGTAACATTATGTTTTATTTTGATTTCACTTAGGCCATATAAAAATTTCTCTAACTATAAAATGGTAAATAACTACATATTATTTTATCATAAAAATACATATTATTGTATATATTTATGATACAGCATAAGTTATTTGACTAAAGTAATAGAGACCAAAAACACAGTGCCTGAAAGAATGGAGATGTTTATTTCTCATCAATAATCCAAGAGTTCAGCAGTCTAGAGCTGGTATGTAAACTCCACAGTGTCAGGAACCATTCGGCCAACTCTAAGATGGATAATTATTCCACTACCCCTAAGGATTCACCTCATCTGTATGGTCTAAGATAGATAATCATGACATCAGCATTCTGGGCCACAAGAAAAGAAGAAAAGTGAAAAGAGAGGGCATGATTGCTCTAGGGCGACCACCTAGAAACTACATAATCTCTTCTGTTCACATGCTATTAGCAGAACTTGACAATGTGGCAATATCTACTCATAAGAGGAAGCTGTATAATGTAATTAACTGCCAAAATTCTCTACAGCTAACAATTTGATTACTATGGAAGAGAGGAGAAAGAACAGATATTAGGGGACCAATGAGGTTTTCTGACACTCATTTAGACTTATGACATAGAGTACATTTAATCACTCAATAATCCTTTTATCTCTTGATCTGAAGATTCTAACATGATATACTTCCAGGTGTTGTAGAATAAATTATTGGTTTGAGTAACCCTTACTGAATGTTTCAGTCAAGATTCTAGAGGCTAAATGCAAAAAGTTAGGTAATTTGTAGAATTTGAAAACATATTTACTTTGAGTTGTGTAAATATTATAAGCATCTTATGAACACTAAAAAACTACATACATATAAGTTATTATTCCCCAACTCCCAGTCCAAAACTTGTCTTCAGATTCCTGTTCCTTTGGATGTATAGTCCTTCTGTTGCAACCCCAGAAACAGGGTTCTCCCGGAGAAGAATTGTGTTGTACACAAATGCATAAACATGAAAGAAATTCGCCAAAAGTTACATACTCCCATAACTGGTCCAAGGGCTCCTTCAAGCTTTCCACTGAATTCCATATCATATGGTGAGGTACAGTATTTTGTAAATTTGCCCTCAGATGGTGTTAATTTCACCATTTGGCACTTGCTTTTGACCTCAGGCTAGCTCCCTGAATTTTAAGATCCTTGGAACTATTCTGGATTTGGCATCTTTAATACTAACCACTTCCCTCACCCATCAGCTCTGACCCTTTCTTCCTTTCCAGAACAAACCTAGAAATTCAGTCCTAAGGGTTCCTTGGTAGTAAGAGCTCAGTTACTACCCCCTAGTAAGTGTGAGGACCCTTTTGCTGTCTTCTCCCACATCAGACACCTATTTGTTTTCACCCTTCTCTTTCCCTCCTTTTCTCTCTGAAACCTTCCTTTTTTTCTTTTCTTGTGCCACACCCCCTTTCCTTGGCTAGGGGCTCTCAATGACCATTTGACCATTGCTGAGCCCTCATTGAGGGCTCCTCAGCTAAACTACAAAAATTTAACCAATCATGTGCACCACATGTCTTCCTTAATTTGGGAGAACTTCCCATTATCATTTCAGTAGCCAATGGAACAATGTGATGATTTCCATTATCCAGGGATGCAGTCGCCATGCAAAATACATGATCAGCAATGCCTCCAACAAATTCCTTAGAGAATGTGACTTATTTTTAAAATATCAGCAAAAAAAACATTACAGATAAGCACTCAAATATCTAGGATGTCAAATCAGCAAGCACAATTCCTCAGACAACAGAGAAAACTGTTAACAGAGAAAATCTTACTCCCAAACCGTGAGGTGAGTTGACTCCAGAAGTGTTTACTGCTGAAATTCCACTATTTGTTGAAACAAAGAATCTTCTTTGCTTTTGTTTTCAGTTTAGGATGTGTGATAATAATGAGAATAGAATGTCCTGGAGAGTAAAGATTGGCAAAAATCATACAAATGGATTTGGTCCCCAGATCCAACCCTACATAAAAAGGGAGATAGTGGAGCAGGTTAGCAACACAACATGGAATGTAGAGGATGAGGAAATAGATCATCAGCTTCATGGCACCTACATGAGCTTCAGAATGCGGATCCCAAAAACCAGTGGCATTTCTCTGCATTTTCCGTATATGTCTCCTCAAGGAATGGATTAACAAGGAAGCAGAAGTCACATTAATGATCAGCTGGAGAAATGAGCTCAAGACCAAAGAGGTCACCAAAGACAAGATGCCTTCATCAAATAATGTGCCATTTCTGCTAGCCGCAAGTTCAGAAAAACGTGATGTCTGGCTGAGCACAACGTACAGGAGACTGGTGAAGGCAGAAATCAGCACACAGGCCAGCAGAAACTTGGAGATCTTTGGGGAGATATTTCGTTTCAGCAGGAGAAACACTGCATGTTGGAAGTTAGTAATCTTCACACAGTACAAGCTGTTGAGCAAAGTCACGAACCAGAGACTACTAGAATCCAAAAACATCCAACAAAATGTAAAAAAACTGGACATGAAACCTGACTTTCTAACACGTGAAGAGAATAACCAGACAACATTCAGTAGAAACAATCCCAGCATAAGAACTCGGGTGACGCTCAAGCTGAACAGGATCCTATCAGAAGAAGAGATTCTGTGGCTCCTGACCCACGTTTTGTAATTGACCACTGTAATAAATAGACTTGTTATGATTCCTACAAAAGTAAAAAAAAGTGAGACAATAACAGCAGAGAAATAGAACACCTGAAGCATCTTTACTCATTGAAGATTCAGCAGTTGTGATGCTGATGGTGGGGGCAGAAGGAAAACTGAAATGTATAAGCACACGCCAGTATCCAGTCAGGAAGGATGGCTCCTTTTTTATTTTTCACCAGGATAGAAAAATCACCTATTCATGGTCTAAGAGCCAGCTGCTTTTACTGAGATGCAAATCTTCCAAGGATTGCATTACTATTTCTTCATTCATATCCTGTTTTCCTTAGAAATGCCTAATTAAAACAAGCCTAGGTGAACTAGGGAGTCCACTCCTCCAAAAGCAGCAGGACTAGAGGTAGGAGTCACACCAAGCCCCAAGGACTTCAAATCCACATTAGAGAGCTCCAGTCCAGTATTGTTTCTGTCACTGTTTCACAGCAAACATAGTTTTTCTTCACAGCAATCCCAGAATATGATGGGACTCCCTATGCCTCACTCCTACTTACCTACCTCCCATCCACATATCCATGGATTACCAGAATCCAACTTCTCTCTACCCTCTAATCTGTTGCTGCTGCAGCCATTTTCTCCAACTGTCATTCTGCCCATGCAAGTGCTACTCCTGTAACCCCTGGCAGTAATTTACAGTTATCTACTAGATCAAGTTCAAGGACCTGGCACCTCCTCAAGGAAGCCTTTCTCAGTTAATCCCATCCTTTCATGATGATTCCTTTACTTTGCATTCTCTATCTATATACATAGATTTGTGCCATAATCCTTTGCTGTGTTCTGTTTTTGCTTAGAAAAAAAATGTCAGCCCTTTCATGTGTTTCCTTTATAAATCTGGGTTTATGTTTAGATCACTTGTGGCTATTTCCTCTTAGATATTTAACTGTCAAAGTACCCTGGTGCAATATACATAATAATGCTTTAGTTGTAGTTTTGTAGGACAAATAGCTAGGTATATCATTGCCTGATTTCTCTGTAATTGTTCAGATAGTAAAGGGAATACTATGCTTGGCAAATGATATTCTGGAAGGCCATACGTGAGTGCAAAAGTATGGCATCTCTTATCTACTTTAGCAGTTGAATGAAATCAAGGTGCAATCCTGGATGCAGCCACATACATGCTACCAAATTAGCGTCAAGGTACAGCATAAAGTCCTATTACCAAATCCAAATATGAACAAACAAGAAAAAGGAACTAGGATATAATGATAAACAGGTCTAAAAAAGGGGACTAAATTCATGAAACATTTTAAGACAGATGACAGGAAAGCTAGCCTGGAGGAATTCCCTGAGCAGCCTAGGTGCTTATAGAAGCTTTTTATACAAAACTAGTGGCACTGACAGTGGCATGCCCAGGTCAGTTGATCAGGCAAACAGAGCAAACCAGCAAGGTCGTGACTAAAGGGAAATTATAGTACAGATTTCCCATTAATTGTCTATCAAATACATGAATGTATTAAAGTAATTCAGTTGAAATAGGATAAACAATATAAAGAATTTCAAATATGGATTGTAAGGAAACTCAATGAAATTCAAGAGAAAATGGAAAACCAACTCAAAGAAACCAAAAAAAACAAAAGTACAAGAGGTAAAGCAAAGCAACAAAGTACTACCCAACCAGATGAACAGAACAGCATCCTACATATCAATTCTATCAATTGATAGAATTGTGAACGTTTTAAATTCCCCACTCAAGAGACAAAGTCTGGATGAATGGATTAAAAAATATAATCCAAGTATCTGCTGTCTCCAGAAAACACATATAATTCACAGGGACTCTTACAGACTCAAGGTTAAGGGATGCAAAAAGATATTTCATGCAATGGCAACCAAAAGAAAGCAGGTGTAGCCATTCTTGTATCAGATAAAATTGACTTTAAATCCACAATAGTAAAGAAAGACAAAGATAGTCATTATATAATGGTTAAGGCAGCAATTCAACAAGAAGACATAATAATCCTAAATATTTATGCACCTAACACAGGAGCACCCAGATTCATAAAGCAAACCCTACTAGGTCTAAGCAAAGAGATAAACAGCAGCATCATAATTGTTGGGGACTTCAACACCCCCATAACAGAACTGGACAGATCATCCAAGCAGAAATAAATAAAGAAACAATGGACTTAAATGGGAATCTAAAACAAATGGACTTAACAGACATTTACGGAACATTTTACCCAAAAACTACTGATTACAAATTCTTCTCATCAGCACATGGAACATTCTCCAAGATTGATCATATTTTAGGTCATAAATCATGGCTCTATAAATTCAAAAAAATCAAAATGATACCATGTATATTCTCAGATCACAGTGGAATAAACAAGAAATCAACAACAATCGAAACACCTAATTTTACATAAAGTCATAGAAATTAAGCTCCCACTGAACAATTATTGGATCAATGATGACACTAAGATGAAAATCCAAAGGTTCCTCTAACTGAATGACAAAGGAGACACAAATTATCAAAATCTGTGGATTCAGCAAAAGCAGCCCTAATGGGAAAATCCATAGCCTTAAATGCCTACAACAAAAAGATAGAAAGATCACAAATTAACAATCTAATGACACATCTAAAGTAAGATATAAGAAATAAACATTCCAAAAAAGAAGGGGAAGTCCAGTTTAGAAAGTAATAGATCCCATCTTGAGTGGGATATACCAAATTGTTGGGTTCTCAGTAGTAGAAAGTGCTATCATTAATTTGTGATCATGTTGGGTAGCATGATCAGTGAGTAAGCTGGTTCTGTTAGAAGTTATAGGAAAAGGGTTAACAGAATCCTTTCTCTCTCTGCATGAGAATCTGACCTTCAGTTAAACTTTCTAATTCTGTTCTCCTTGTCAACCTGATAAGATTAAGAACACCAAATGTGTTTTTAGGCCAAGAAAAAAAAATCCCTAATTGGCATCTTGACATCTTGACTAGAAGGAACTATAAGTAAACTATAAATATCTTATAGAGACTCCATGCATTGGGCTTCCCTAAGTATAGTGATTCTTCTCATGTGTGTGTTCCTTCACCTGACCCTAGAAGCTATGTCTATGAAATTATTACAAGAGAAATTGTCTCCTTTGGGACATAAAGCTACTCCTACCCTTACACTAAGGTGGATCTCTTCTCCTTGCACCTGAATTGTATGACCTGCAGCAAGGATTCTGCGAAAGAGGAAATCTTGACACTGCCCTGCTGGTAAGCTGGGTCCCTCAACTATATCCAACTGAACAGGCTGGTGCCACAGTGACCTAAGATAATCTTGTAAGTCTGAATATTTATTAGATCCCAAAAGACCCACTGACAGGCATTGAAGCCATGGGTCCAAACTCTACTACGTGACAGGTCTGTAGGAGAAGCTTTAAAGCAAACAGTCGAAGCGAAAGGATGACACCTTCTTTGATGATGGTTCTGAAAAGTGAAGTCAGTCATCATGAATAAACAGGAATTTAAAAATTTGAAATTTTTTCAAAAGAGTACTATATGAAGCTTAGGATAATGAAGAAAACTTCCATTTCTTGAGTATTTTAAGTGTTTATTATATACCCAGCAATGCACCAGGTATCTTAGGTCAGTTAATTCTTAAAATAGTCCTAGGAGGAGAATATAGTTATCCCTATTGATAAGTGAGGAAAATAAAGATCAGAGAAAGTGGTTGCCTAATATCATAGCAAATGGTTTAGTACATTCTATGCTGCTATGATAGAATACCATATACTAGGTAATTTATAAAGAAAACAGATTGATTTGGCTCACAATTCTCAAGGATGGGAAGTCCAAGAGCATGGTGCTGGAATATGCCTGGCATCTAGTGAGGGCCTTCTTGCTGCTTCACAACATAGTGGAAAGGCAAGAAAGCATGTGTGAGAATAAGAGAAGAAAGAGGGTGTTTTTCTGTTAAAGCTTTGGCTAACATTCTCGAAAAACTCTCATTATAAGCAGATGTTATCATTCTTGGGCCCTCCAGAAAGGCGACAAGCAAAATGCTTTTGGCATCTCAAAAGACTATTGCCATAACCTTTGCTCTTGCCTGGCCTTCTTTTGCTTTGACTGGACCACATCTATTTCTTGGTAGCCAATGACAGAAAAACACCCATGAAAGCTTTACTAAAGAGTTCTTCTCCACCATGATAATGTTCTGTTTATCAAACAAGGGCAATTTCTTGAGAGTTTTCCATGGGAAAACCTCTTTATAGTCCTGATTTGGTTCCTTCTGACTTCATTTAGTTACTTAATCTTAAAAAATCTGTAAAGTGTACCCATTTTTCTTCAGTTAACAATGTAAAAAAGATGGCATTGACAGGGTTAAATTCCCAGGGCCCTCAGTTCTTTATGGATGGACTAAATGGCTGGTACCATCACTTATGAAAGTGTCTTGACCTTGATGGAGCTAATGTTGAGAAATAAAGTTTATATTTTTATCTTAAAAAAAAGAGGGGCCAAACTCCTGCAAAACCTAACCACTCCTGGGATAATGGCATTAATCTGTTCACGAGAGCAAAGCCTCCATGATCTAATCACCTCTTAAAAGACCCACCTCTCAACACTGTTACAATGGCAATTAAATTTCAACATGAGTTTTGAAGGTGACATTTAAACCATAGAAGCAACTCAGTGGTTAAGCTAGAAGGTCTTTCTGAGACTAAGCTCTTTCGACTACATTAGACTGCCCCTTTCATTCTATAAATAGCTGTTATCAGCCAGGCACTGTGTAGGGTGCTAGAGAAATAGAGAAGAATCACCCATAGCACATCCTGCTTTCAAAGAATACAAACAATAGTGGGAGAGACAGACAAATAGCCAAATAGAGAACTGAGCTTTAGGTGTTATAATATGGAAAAACAAAGAGTGCAATAGGAGCTTTCAGGAGACACACTTAATATAGCCCTGAGAGTTCAGGAAAGGCTTCCTTGAAAAGATATATAAACTCAGTCTTGAAGTATGCAAAGGGGTTACCCAAGAAAAAAGATAGGATAGGAAGGAAAAGGATACTGAAAACAGAATAGAACTCTACATGCAGGCTCAGAGGGACAGAGCATGTAATGGGTTCAGGAAATAGAAGAGAGGAGGGGTACAAGGAAAGGAAGAGAAATGGTGAGAGATGAAATTGGAAAGATAAATCACCAAGTATCTATGGCATCGTAGGTTCACATAGTAATGTGATCAGAGGCAAGTACCTTAGGAAAACACACAGAATACATATTTAACCTTACCTGAAATAGTCAAAGAAGGCCCGGTCTTGAAGAATAAGAGAAGTTAACACAGCTGATGTTGAGAAAGAGAATTCTAGGCAAAGAAAGCAGCATATGTAACAGCAGCAAGAAAAGTATGGCATATTTGAGAACTAGTAGTTCAAGGTTCTTTTGAAGAAGTAAGGAATGAAAAGATAAAAGTAGGAAGGAAAATAGGGGCCAAATGATGAATGGCTTTGTGTAGCAAGTTAAGGAATTTGGACTTTATCCAAAGCAATGGAGAGCCATTGCAGGACTTTAAGAGGGGAGCATTATTATCATATTTCACTGTATAAAAAAACACACATCTAGGGGATGGTCATGATGGAGACTCAGACTTTTGGGGGGAGGGGGGAAATGGGCATTTACTGAAACCTCAAAATCTGTACCCCTATAATATGCCAAAATAAAAAAAAAAGAAAGAAAAAAAAAACACAATGCAAGTAAGGTAGAAATGTTTTGCTGGAAGGGGATGGAGTTGGAAACAGAAAACTAGTTAGAATCCTGTTGTAATCACTCTGATAGGTTGAAAAGGGTAGAAATGGAGACCAGGGGACATTTGAAAGAAATGTTTTTTAAGTACAACCAAAGAGATCTGGTGGTCAAATGGATATGGAGGTTATAGAAGAATCTAAGATGACTTCCAGAATTCTGGTGCACTTAGATCACACACACATACATAAATGCATGTATTTTAGTGAATTTCTGTATAATCTGTACTACTATCTTAATAAAGAGCTTATTTAAATAAGAAAATGTGTTCATTCAGGCTTTCCAAAAGTACTGGCTGAAATGGGATTAGACATGCAAGAGATTTTAGGTGGGAGGGAGCCAGAGAAGGTTCCTAGAGTATTCAGATAGCAAGGTAGGTCTGACAGCTGCAAAAGGGTGGGGAAAGGATGAAGAAATGTGCAAGGAGAGTCCTAAACTTCAGCACAATTCCAAGAAACTTTCAATCAAACTGATGGAGAGTACTTGGGCCAAAACTGGGACATGGAATCCCATGTCTCAGCAGAACAGACCTGCCTCAGGGCTGGGAGTAGCCTGCAGGAAGTGTGGCCCTGCAGTTGTGGATTCAGCAGCTGGGCCCACCAGCCAATTGTGCCCCCACAGCAGAGATCTGAGCCATGCGTTTTCATGGCTGCTACAAAAGGGGGCTGGAGACAAAGATCACCTGTGCCAGCACCCTCTCGTGATAGAATGATTCCTTCATTGCATCTGAAGCATCTGTTTCAATGACCCTTTCAATAACGCTTTCAATGTCGCGTGTTTCTGTGTCTTTATTACATACTAGATGTGATGTTTCTGAGAACAGGAACTGTGTCTAGTACAGTGCTTGATACAGAGTGAGGGTTAAATGTCTGTGGTAAAAATGGATGGACTGGAATCAAGGTAAGCCAGAATCAAAATGGAGTGAGAAATGTGTTTAATCCTGGAATATTACAGTAGTGATCATCAGCTAGCCAAACTCATCCTTTTGTCAAAGAGATCTGCTAGCTGTGCAATAAGGATACAAGCCTTTACAATCAAGAAAAATTAGTTCAGAAATCTTCCCTCTCTGGCTATGAATATCCTATTTGGCAACAAATGAACATGCTCAGGAAACTCTACTGATGAACTTTTAAAAACATACTTTTCAGGATTAACCTGGAAATGTTGCTCTGGCCATCAGCCCAGTTCCACTAAGTCAGAATTACAAGTTAATTGTAGTAAAGTCAACAAATTAATCACTCTACAAGTGCAAATGTGCCAAGGGGAAAAAATCAGATTATTTCATCTGTAAGTGATGAAATAAATACAATTTTTCTCCTGAGCCCCCACCTGCTGGTTGGGGGTGGTGTTTGATCCAATCATATAATCAGTGTCCTCAGAATTTTTAGTCTCTTTAAATATAAAAACAAAAATGTCTAAGACATCCTCTCCATGGCATGCTACTCTCCTTTAACTACGGTCCAGGTATATGGGGAGAGGGCTGAGATTAACTCTACCTCATGGCAGCAGACAAGTGTCTGTATTCTCTGCCTCAGTGACTTTGTCTTCTCTGGCTTCCAGGGAGAGGTCTTCTGTATGCCACAGCCTACAGGCTGAGTCTGTACCTATGGTTTGCTCCCACTGACTGCAAACTAGGAGCTTTTAACCAGTCCTCACAGTGGGAGGATTCAGGACTCTCATCTGCCCTACTTACAGTCTCTTTCTCTCTCTCTTCTCCTTCCCTCCATCCTATGGGGACTGGAAGGAGTAGGCTTCCCCTTACTTCATGTTTTCTCACACCATCAGCAACAACATGCTTTGTGGATTCACCATCAAAAGAGAAGGACTCTACAGGTAGATACTTCAGGCTCAACCTTGACAGTAGCTAATATTTTTGTGCATTTACTATCCTTTAGTTGTTAAAATGCTTTACATACGTTGTCTTTTTTAATCCACACACCAATCCTATGAAGCATACCTATTTTCTAGTGAAGTCCAAGGAAGTTTAGAAACTTGCCAAGGATCATGTATCTAATAAGTGGTGGGGTCAGGATTCAAACTCAAGTGTGTTTGACTCCAGAACTAACACTCTAACACTGGAATATATACATATACATATATACATATATATATATATATGTATGTGTGTGTGTGTGTGTGTGTGTATATATATATATATATATATCTGTGCTATATATTTTTCTAGTCTAGCAAAATGTAGAAACACCAGAAAATAAAATATAATTGTTATCAGCAGTTGTTGGAGGTTATAGGGTCACTTTTGCATTCTTAAAACAGAACCTCTTGCAGAATTAAACAAATAACATTGACTTTCCTTTCCACCTATCCCAAATCAAGAAAATCACAAACACAACTTTAAGACCCCCTATGGTAGCCCTACTCATCTACTTTTGGAAAATATAAGGGAAATTGCACAGAGTAAAGAGCATTGGTAAGCACTGAAATTGTTTGAGAAACACTGGAATGTGTTTTATGGTTTGTTTTCATTTATAATCCTCTTGAACCCAAACTACTAAAGCAAAATAAAATAAACAAGATGGCACCTACCAGGTTTTCTCAAAACTGAGCCTACGGCATTAGGTAAATCTATCCCATGCCCTAGGATTCAGTGAGGAGCTATCAGATCAGGCATTCCCCCTTATGGATTTGGAAGACCACAACCTCCCCCAAAAAGCCAGACTTCCCATGATTGTGCCTCAAGCAACAGGTGAGATTCTGTTCCTCAGTAGCTCACCCACCACCCAGGCCTCCACTCCCACCCCCAACTTTGATTAATGGCTGAAGTAATATAACAAAGTCTGAGGTTTTCTAGGAGTCACCTCCAAATTTATCTGAAAGGAGTTGGGAATGGATTGAAGTGGAGATGCCACATTTCCTCTCAGGGAACCAAACAGGCTACATCAGACTCCCACTCAGAGAATTCTACACTTTCCATGAACACTACTGGTGCCTACAAAATGAACAGTAATGTAACAAAAGCATGTTCACTGTACTATATCTAAATCTGTTAAGTCAGGAAAGCATTTAATGGTGCCACAATGGGAACAAAAGAGAGGGATCACTATAAAAGTTAGTTGAATGCACTAACAGCCAAAGAACACCCAAGCCAAAACCTCTAGTGTAATTTTATGTTCAATTAAAGGGAGGAAAATCCTAACACGTAAGCCATTAGACAGAATCAGGAGTTCAGGTTAGAGTTCAAGGACCATAAGGTCAGAGTTAGGCAGAGAAGTTGCCAAAGTAACAAAAAATAGAAACAAGTGTTCAAGAGTGGGTGAGGCTGAGTTAAAGAGCATGGAGTCAGGGTAGACAAAGCAGATGTCAATCAAGACAGCACAGATTTCCATAGTTAAACTCTCCTATGATGAAAAGAAGCACAGATTTTTATTAATTGCAGAACTATTAGGCAGGGAAAAATACCAATTTTAGAATTCTTATATTTTAGTGAATTATAAATGAATCTTAAAACATTCTTTAGGTTTCAGCAGATACTTTTTCTAAAGCAGATTTTAGGTGGTGTCAGAATTAGGAATTTTCCTAGCAGCTTCAAAAGGCAAAGTATCAATTTAAAAGTAAACCATACAGACCAAAAGACATTTTATTCCTGTAATTTTAGAAATGAATATATAAATCCCAGAACAATCCTAAAATTAATTTCTGGTTACATATGACCAAATGTGCAGTAATGTAGTAAACCTTCATGCTATGTCAAAATATATCCCCTTTCAAAAATCACCACCACAACAACAATAACAATATTTATTGTTTCCTCCATGTAAGACTCTAAGCACTTTTTATGTTAACTTACTCATTCCTTCCAACAATCCAATCAAACAACATACTATTATTATTTCCATTTTACAAATAGAGAAAGCAAAAGAGAGGAGGTTACGAAGCTTCCCCAAGGTCACCCAGTTCGTAAGGGCCAGGGCCAGGATTTAAACACAGGCTGTCTGGCTTTGAGGTCCACACTTGTGGCCACAACACTCTACCTCTGAGATCCCCTTTAGTGCCAGAAATCCAGATTCAAAAATTCTATGTGTTCTAACTGAATATGTTCACAAGTTTGAGAATTCTTCATGATATTAAATTATAACATTCTCATTGACTTGTCAAAATTGTTCAATTATAGAAAATAAATGAATGCCTATATACTTCTATTTAAATAAAATTGATTAAACTTATAAAAAGTGCTTATATTTGATAAGACTCCATAATTTTAAAGTCATATATGCATCTTGTTAAAAAAAAAAAGAACTGCTTGGGCTTTTACCAAATCTATTAATAAAAAATTTTACTTGTAAATTTATTTAGCAAAATGATCATGAAATGTAAGACCAGGACCTGGAATCCAAGGTTCCTGATTTTCATTCCACTATTTTTGTCATTGCACAATGGGTTTGTGGAAACTGGAATCCTATGGGAATTGCTGTTGCTGTATAACTCAATATTAGTTGCAATAATAGCCTTCACTTACTGAGTACTTTATACAAAACACTGCTAAAATGTCAGAATACATTATCTTATGAATCTCTAATAACCTGTGAAGTCTATGTTACAGTCCATATTTTAAGATGAGGGGAAGAGAGGATCATACAGGTATTAAAGTAACTCACTTGAGGCCAAAAATCTTGGAAAATTGACGGAATCAGAATTCAAACCCACATCTACAGGACTGCAAAGATTTGGCCCTTTCCCTCAAGTCTACCACATAATTTTATTTATATCAGTTTATCACTGTTAGTATCAAATTTAAGAAACTAGTAATCAGACTCATTATGGTGAGCTGATGATTATTAACTTACAGCTCCATGTCTATATAGTGAGAGTGTTCCTACTATCCTGACACTTCTGAAGACTACTTTATTCCTTACCACCCCCTCCCCACAAAACAACCACAAAGAGAGATCATGAGAAATGTGGCTTTCATTTGGAATGGGTCCCCATGTGGGACCAGGGGCAAAGCAGTCAGTATTTCTCTCCTACTGATGTTACAGAACTGGTACCATGGGTGGTCAGAAAGAGTCCTGTAGTCTTGGGCCAGGCTGAAGAATTCCTGGGCTCCACCCCATTACCTCTACTACTCTATGGGGAAAAGGGTCCCTTGGATCCAGGCTTCAGATGACCAGACTGACATTGGAGCATCTCCACAAATGTCTGCTTCAGCTTTTTGTTTCCCAGAATGAGAATAAATGAGCGGCCAGCAGGATAAAACATTACAATTATTTCACAAATCATTATAGCCCCCTTAGTATTTGGTAGGAAATAACTGGCTGATGCCAGGGAAAAGAAAAGAAAGTAAAATAGAAAGAGAAAGAAAAGGGAAAGGATGATTTTGATGGCCCTCTTGTGGGCCTCGGTGCTTGGATCTCTGACGCTTGTGCCGTTTTGCTGCATCTGCCGCGTGTGCCTCCCCAGGGAGAGGAGGAGTAGAAGGTAGGAGGCCAGGGACACAAGTAAGGGAGGGAGGTTCCACAAAGTCCCAAGAACATGCATCAGATAATATTCATCTCTCTTCTTTCTGAAGCGCTCAGTCACATTCCCTGTTCCATCAAGTCCTCTGAGTGCAGAATAGATCTTAAATTCATTGAACAGAGAGATGGTACAACCACAGGATAAGAGCAATGCACCCAATAGCATCCACACGACCACCTTGGAAACTCTCCACTTGAGCCAAAGGAATGTGGAGTGGGAGAAGCTGGCAATTTTCAGGCAGTAAAGGACACTGAGACAGGTGGCAAACCAAATGTTCAGGTGGTTTGTAAATGCCCAGAAAATATCAATAATCTGCATTACTATCCCTGAATCACGTACATTGGAAGAGGAGACTATTAGAAGACCATCAGTGAAGAGAATCCACAGCAGAACAATACCCGAGAGAGCCAGGATGGTGATGATGAAATCAGACAAAGAGATTCTCTTGTTCTTGAACCAGCTGCTACCATTGACAAACCCAATGAAACCATTCCCAAGGAGGCCCAGAATGAATTCAGTAACAGACAGAACCAGGAACACACCCTCAGCGAACCCCAACATGGCAGCAATTAGCACTGATCTTTATTCTTTCTGTTGATGTATATAATCTCCTTCCTGGTTTAAAATATTTCTCTGTGAATCTATCCTCTCTACCTGTTGCTTCACTGTACCTGTCTCTTGTCTCTGCCCAATTTAATATGTTGTACGGCAAAGTTCAGTGAATCCTCTCTGGCTCTTTCAGGTTAGTCTGTCCTCTGCACAGATGACATGGATTGTCACATTCTGTCTCTGATCCTAAACTCGTCAGTTCTCTGCTAAAATGCAAATACAGTAGTGTCCAGTGTCACACAGAAAAGGAAGAGATCTGGGTCACCAACAAGATGGAGGACTTGGTCTCAGTTTCAATGGGAGGGTTCGGAATCACCCAGAACAGAAAGGTGATTGGCACCAAAAGAAGGAAACACAGAATCACTCGGAAGAGTGAAAAGTCTTGTTTCTCAGGAAGGAGGACTCAGAGACACAGAAAAGGGGAAATATCAGAATTCCACTCTGAGGCATGTTCCATCACCTAGAGGGAGGTTTAAGTGCATAAAATAAAACATGTTCAGCACCAGTCCTGGATTCGAATTAAAAGGCATGCCCCTTGGAGCATGACTTACATGTAGGAACTCCAAGTTCTTCATTAGTGAGTCATATCATCACAAATTCTTAACTGCTTAAATATTTGAACAATAATGGAGCATAGCATATAAGCTATTCACATACAGACTTTTCAGACTGCATGACCATTATACTGATAAGTCAATAGTAGTTCATACTGACAAATCACACAGATACCACCTGTCAATCAAAGAAGGCTTATTTAATCTAAAACAGTACCTTAAAATTTTGACCATGCCAATAATACTTTTTATATGGTTTTATATATGTGTGTATATGTGTGTGTGTGTTATGTGTGTCACAATCTATATATATATATATATATATATATATATATATATATATATATATATATATATATATATATTAGGAACACAAAGGTATCACAAAACCAGATTTCCTGAGTGGCACTCTGATATTTTCTACCCCACTCTATTTCTTTCAATGCTGCTTGCATCTCACAAAATTGATTTTACAACCCACTAAAAAGTTGTCAAAAATTCTGATTGAAAACAATGATCTGATGGATGGAGACAGAAACCAATGTCATCAAGATACAAAACAGAGAGTTTGGCCAGGCATGGTAACATGCTCACACCTGTAATCCTAGCACTCTGGGAGGCCGAGGTGGGAGGATTGCTTGAGGTCAAAAGTGCAAGACCAGCCTGAGCAAGGGCAAGATCCTGTCTCTCCAAAAAATAGAAAAAATTAGCTGGGCATGGTGGTGCATGCCTATAGTCCCAGCTACTCAGGAGGCTGAGTCAGGAGAATCCCTTGAGCCTAGGAGTTTGAGGTTGCTGTGAGCTATAATGATACCACTGCATTCTACTCAAGGAAAAAAAAAAAAGTTCAGCAATGTTATCCAATGATAGATGGAGACTCAGACTTTTGGGGGGAGGGGGAAATGGGCATTTATTGAAACCTTAAAATCTGTACCCCCATAATATGCCGAAATAAAAAAAATAAAAAAATAAAAAATAATAATAAAAAAAAAGGACCTCACAGAGTGACAGATGACAAATCTGGAAGAATGAGACATACTCTCTCACCTAAGCCAGGCGACCCTCAGTAATTTCAGCATCATGTAGAGTACAACATACTTACAGAGCACTGTAAACTACACTTGGGCATAAACATGCTCCTCCTTAACTGCCCAAAGCTTTCTCAGGCCAATTTAACAACCTAGTCCAAATGCTTCCCAAACTCTCTGCTGTAGAATTAGAGGAAGGTCAGTTCATAGATGTCTCTGGGAGTTCAGTAACAGGACCTTAGCCCTGTTCCAGGGCTTATCCCACCTGTCCGTGACCCTGTTCAGTTTACTCATCGCCTCAGTTCTATGTATTGAGATTTTTTTAAATCTTATAACACCTTTTACATCCTCTCATTTCATAGCCTTATGTTTGCAGTGAGCAACCTTGAAGATAAGGTAATGTGCCCTTCAAGGAAAAAGAGCAGGCTTGCTTACTGCTTGCTATAAGAGCAATGAATTCCCCAAGCTCAGTGTATCTCCCCATAATGAGCCCTCCATCTGAGCCCTCTGCATTGCCTCCCATGAGACTTGCGGGACAAGGGGAACTGAATGAAATATGTTGCTGTTCATGCTGCTTGAGATGAACAGGGTCATTTTTCTCTGACCCAATAGTTTTATGTCTTCTGCCACAATTCATGAACCAGTAAAAGACTACTTACTTAGCTTGTATTTAGGGTAAAATCAAATCCTAGACCCAATACCAAGCTCAATTTGATCACCACTGCTTTGGGCAGCCTATTCCAGTTATTTATTAATACTTGTCTCTCAAGCCCATGACCACCTCCTATGCTCTGCTGCATACTGTTGGGTATGGGACTCCACAAGCCATTTCCCAGACCCCCTTTCCAGATGCCCTGCTGTTACTGTCTGCCAATATGAAAACTAGGACATGAGAAGAAAGGTGAAAGACAGAACATTTCTGCTTTTCACTCCAAGCCACTTTTTATTTGGTAATGTTACTCTGATTAGAGACGGGATCAATGACTGCACCCTGGATAGAACCACCTATTCACTGTTGCTGGCCCCGGCCAAGGCAATACATCTTCAGCATACCAGAAACAACTGCAATAACTTCTCTAGCAATGCAGCAACAGGTGAATGCTCACAGGCTCCAGCCCACGGATGTTATCAGTTTCTGATCTCTCAGTATAACACCTTCTTCCTTTTTGCTATTACGGTACCCCTTCTTTCTTCTTCTCCTCTTCTCATATTTATGTAAACAATCCTTTGCATTCAATACTCTCCATCTGAAATAATTATACTGGTTTCTTTTGTCTTGACTGGACTCTGGATGATACATAGTCCTTCCACCTATTTTCTAGTTTGGAGTTTTAGTTGTCTCCTATTTTCATCAAAGATATAACATACCTTTCTGTTTCTCAATCTCCTTTGGGTTCTAAGATGGTTTTCAAGAGGAAAAGGAAACTAGGTTAACCTATAATACCATTTTCATACTGCAATTCCTGTCAAGTTTTATTTCCTATTATTTCCATTATTTATTTTAATATCATCCATATATTGATACTTTCAAAATGTATATCTTCATGCCAGACCACTCTTCCAGGCACATATACTCCCATGTCCACCTACCTACTTGACCTCTTTACTTGCCTCTATTGCAGTCATCTCAAAAATTATGTCCAAAACAAGCCTCTCAATTTATCCCCATTTAAAAAAAAAATTTTCCCTTGCTCACCCTCAATGTTCGCCATTTCGGCCATTGGCAACATCAATTGCTCAAATGAGGCACCATGTAAGAATTAATTTGATTCTTCCTTTTCCCATTACCCTACATTAATTCATTGATAGCTTATTTATTTTAATTACAAAATGTATCTTGAATTTTCCATTTCCACTGCCTCCATCCTGGTCCAAGCTGCCATCATCTGTCATCTGAACTACTTGATGGCTTCCTAACTTATTTCTCCACTTCTAAGTCTTTTTTTCCCCCCATAATAGAGTCTCCATAGAGCCACAAGAATGATCTTCAGATGTAAATCAATCATTTCACTTTAATACTTAAAATACTTTTAATGGCTTCCCAATGGAACTATAACAAAATATAAACTCCTTACATTATATTATGTACTAAAACTCTCCTCTGGATATCCCCCTGCCATGCACCAGGATTCAAGATAAATTTTACAATATCACATGGTTTGTGTTAAGGAACAGGCTTTATCAAAGTAAGGGAAAACTTACATTAGCAATAGAAGTGAAGCCTTGGTTCCTCTTCATCCTCCTACTGTTATACACAGGGACCAGAGCAAGTTTGTGCCAACGACGTACTTCTGTGTGCTAATGAAGGTACCTCATCCTGATCCTGTTGCTCTCCCTTCTTAACGTAAAAATGTGAAAGCAACCCTGTCAGTAGGAAAATAAACAATCTAATTAGTGCCAGAAAATCTGGATTGGGGAAGCCAGTTGTCACAGGGGTTGTCTGAAAAGGCTAACTGACTGACACCTGGACCTTGGAGGCCATGGGATGCTATGGTTCCCACTACTAGAAGGAGAGTCACTAATTCTATGGGAAGCTGAGCTTATGTGAAGCTCTTTCTATTGGAAGAAGTGAAAGAAACCTTATTTCAGCTAGCTTATTGTTTAAGCAACCTAGACTGAACTCCTAGGGTCATTTTGGACAGCTTTCCCCACTGCAGTATAATTTTCTCATAAGAATAATAATCATATTTCCCACTTGGTCCAGGGCAGTCCTGTTATGTGCCTGTCACTCCAAGCTATTAGTAATTCACTCTCAAAAGTATCAATGTTTTATTCAGTGAATATTCAGGTCACAGGCTCAATTCTTGGAACATAGTAGGACCACAATAAATATTTTCTAGGAAAAAAATATTCATTAGGAAAAAAATTTTCTAGGAAAATCTATAATTAAGTCTGATTTTTTATTTGAGCTCAAGTTTTAGATTCATTTTTATGTTGTTAGGTTTCAGGAAATACAATGAAAAATAAATGAACTGGCAGGTAGATCCTATTCCTGTACCTGCCATTTATTCATCTAATATTTCTTGAACATATAGTGACAGGCATTGTGTACAGGAAATCAAGGACTAGTAAGAAAGGGAGACATGTCTCCAAAAATATTACATAACAATGTGATCAATACTATATGAGATAGATATAAATGCACATGTTTGCACAAAGAAGGGACCAAATTCTGCTTGGAATAGTCTCAGGCTTTCAAGAGGAGCTGATATTTGAGATACATCTTTAAAAATGAAATAAGAGTTCATCTGGCAGGCAAAGTGAAGAAAAAGGAATTACATACACAACAGAAATAGAAATGATAATGGTGATAATGATTTATTCACTAACATAATACAGATTATCTAGGCTAGAAAAGAAATACACATAGTGTTTAATTATGTGCCATGCATCATTTTAGGCTATCCACATTAACTCACTTAATTCTCAACATATGAGGCAGGTTCTATTACTATTCTCACTTTTTAAGAGGAAGAAACTAAGGCTCAGGTTATCACAGACCTAGTAAGCAGCATAGCTGGGATTCTAACCCAGGCAGTCTGGCTTCAGAATCCTTTGTCTTAACCAAAGAGCTTGGAGATCACCTATTGATGCTGCGCCACTAAACATAAAGAAAAAAATGGGGCCCTGAGCAGTAATACCAGGTCAGGGACAAAATCTTAGATCCCCTTTCTCTTATAATCACTCTGCTCTGGCTCCTGACCCACATAAACTCTCAGAGTGTGGAACAAAGCTCAAACCAACATGTGTTTAATGAGAACCTATGCAATCCTCTGGATCCCATTCTCTACTTCCAACATTACTCCTTATTTATCTGTTTTACACATTTTATCAATTAATGATGCCACTATGATAAACTGGAGGAAAAAAGGAGTCAGTTACCTAGGATACTTGCATCCTTGTCCTGTCAATGTTTCCACTAAGTATGTGACAATAGGCAAATTTCTTTCTGACCTTCAAGTTTCAAATAAATAAAATAAAGAGGGACCAGACGGTGAATATGAATGGTTTAAGAGTCTGAGTCCTACAGTCACAGCTGGAATCAAATCTGACTGCCACTGTTCACTACTTATGTGACCTTAAGCAAGTTAACCTCTCTAAACCTGAATTTGCTCATC